AGGGAAGGGAAGGGAAGGGAAGGGGAGAAGGGAAGGGAAGGGAAGGGGCTTACACAGCTTCCCCTCTTAGGGTTAGGGAAGCCTGGATGCGCGTTAGGGCGGTACGGGCTTACAGCTAAAGAGAGTGACTCAGCTCCCTTGTTTCTAACTACTAATCCTCCTGCCTCAGCCCCCTAAGTGCTGGAATGACAGGCCTGAACCACCAAGCCCAGATTATTTCAACTCTTGTCCCTGAAAGCTATTCCAGGAGGCAGGAGTCCGAGCTCCCTTCGCAGCGACTGGAACACAGCTCGCGGCTGCCCTTTCTTTGGTTTCACTTGTGGGCATGCCTCAGAATGGAAATATCAGAGCCAGATGATGGGGAAGGATGGTAAACTGTAGGAAGTGACAGAGGTTGGGCTGAACTCGAATGCCCCGGGGTGTAGCCCTGATCCATACGAACATTTTAAGTTGCTTCGATTCTGATTACTGAGGCTTTATCACCTTGCTGTATTATGCAGTACTTCCCGGCCATCTAACCCAGCTCTCGGTTTGGGAAAACCTCGTCTATTTCTGTACCACCGGGAGCAATCATTTCCGCCTTCAGGTCAGCTCTGCAGGTCCCATTACCAACCCTGGCAGGGAGTGAGAGGAGTTTAAGGAGTTTCCTCCACCCTTTTGGTCTTGTGCCACCTTGTGTGTTCCCACGGGTCCCGTTCCCTTCCCTGCACCTGAGCCTGACAGCAGCGACGTCCCTGTCCCCGCCTTTCTCCTTCTCGGACCAGGAACTGTCTGGTTTCTGCCTGTCCCCTGCACAGGGCGATGCCCCAAAGCTAAGTGCGCAACGCTACATCTCTTCCCGGAGTTTGTTCTCCATCATCCAGCAGTTCACTGAATGTGTGCAGATCAGGACTGTCAAGCGCTGTGCTGGGAAGGCCACAAGTACCGTTAACAGGCGCAGCTTCCAGGGAAAAGGACAGCAGTGCGGACGGCCTGAAAGCAGCCCACTGTCATAGCGCACACCCAGAAGAGCTGCCTGTAGAAGCGAGCTCAGGCATTGGGCAGCTGCTTGGAGGCAAGACTCAGATCTGATGGACTTTTGTTCTCAAGACAGAGGCCTTCAGAGAAAGGAAAGAACAGGGTGCACTTAGACTACATTTCAGGTCGTGGCTGCTGTGAACAATCTCTCTCTCTTTCTTTCTCCCCCTCCTTTATCTCCCCTCCTTACACTAGGGAATGAACACGGGGCCTTTGCACTGCTTTGCACTGAGTTACATCTCTATCCCTTTTAACATTTTACGAAAATTTTGAGATGCTATGTCACTAAGTCACTAAGTTGCATAAACTGAGATCACGGTTGTGATCCTCCTGCCTCAGCCTCCCACAGTCCTGGGATTACAGCTGTGTGCTGCCAGCCTTGGCTAGAGATATCCCTTTGAGATCCTAACTTTAATTCCTCTGGATATATACCCAGCCATGGGGCTGTTAAATCAGATGATAGTTTTATGTTTAATTTTTGGAGGAATCACCATATATCCCCACCAATCTGTGCAAGGGTTCCCTTTTCTCCACATTTTTGCCAACACTTGTTATCTTTGAACTTTTTTACATTCAGTACTAGGGCTGATCTTTAACTCTTCCATCTACATGAAGGTGGGTGGGGTATGGTTTAAGACAAGGGTCCAACTCAGTCCTTTTGCACATGGGTGCCCACTTTCCCTGGCACCTTTGTTGAAGGACTGTCCTTTCTCCATGTGCCTTCTGGACACCCTGGCCAAAGATCATCTGACCACACACAAAGAATGGATTTATTTCTGGGCATTCTGTTTTCTTCCATGAGCCTGTATATTTATATGCTGGTACCACACACTTTTGATGACTGTGGCTTTGTAATATATTTTTAAATCACTGGGTGTGATGCCCCTGAATGTCCATCAATAAGGACAATATAGTATTTATAGACATTGGACTATTACTCTGCCTTGAAAAAGAAAGAAATCTTGCCATTTTGATCACATGGGCGAGATTAAATGGCACTATGCTTGGGGAGAGAAGACAGGCAGAGAGGATCAAAAGCACGGGGGTTTCAGAGTCTGAGGGATCTGCAGGAGTTGCGCTCAGACCTATAGAAGCAGGAGAACCACGGTTCCCAGGGCTGGGGGAGGGTGAGAGGCAGGGCAGCACTGGCCGAAGAGTACCAAGCTCCACTCCTGCAAGGTGAGTCCAGCTCTGTGGTGCTGACAGCACCGGGTCACAGACTGAATACCTGCTCAAGAGGGCAGACTTGTGTGTTTTTATCACTCAGAAATAAAGCAGATAAAGGCAGAAGCAGTGTTTGGGAGCGATGGGTCTGTCTCCAGTACTGCTCCCTGACACAGCGTGGCACTGACTCCGGCCACGGTTTTGAGGGTGTGACTTCTACAGTTGCGCACGTTAATATGTACGGTGTTCTGCAGGTCCATCACATAAAGATGCTGTATTTCACAGGAGTCATAAGTGGGCACTGCCAATACTAGAGAAAGGAAGACAGAGCCTAACCCTAAGTGCGAATTAGTCTATCCGGCTGTAAGCTGTGTGGCTTTATTTTTTAGGGGTTCCCAGTTTCTGCTACAATACGTGGCAACTGCAGGATGTGCTGAAATAATCGAATCCATCAGAATCACCTCAAAGTGCGGCCACAGCCCACCCAGGCCCACGGCCGAGGCTACCTGGTGGCAAGGAGCGGGTAGGAGTGCGCGGGGCTGAGCCAGGCCTCCTTCCGCCGCGGCATGCTGTCGTAGAGTAACAGGTCTTTCTCCGTCAGGACAACCAGCGCCGGCTTCCACTGCTTCCCGCTGTCCCCGGGCACCTGCGACAGAAGGCAGACGCTGTCAAACAGCAGCTGGGGAACAAGCGGCTGAGAGAGACGCGGCGCCCCCCACCCCGGGGCCCAATGGCACGGGCGTCCTTTGATGCAGGCTGCATGCTCAGGGACGAGTGGAGCCCCAGGATTCCTGACTCTCGGAAATCTCTGTGCGCGCCAGGGTCCTGATCTCTACCTGGACCGCCGTTTCTGCCAAGAACAGCCAGCTGCCGCGCCTCTGCCGTGGCCTCTCACCGGCCCCTCAGCACTGACTCTTCACTCACCTCACCCAGGAGGCAGAGGTGCGGGCGCAGCGCTCCCAGCTTATTCTGCGGTCAGTGTCTTCGTGTTTATCACGGAAGTCAGTGAAATCATATTCCTAGGCCCTGCAAATACGCTCTGGAGGCAAACGTCCACTGTCACATGTATGAGACGTGGCGGTCTCCTCTGGTCTTCTGCTGCTAATAGGCACCGTCCAAACAATCCTCTTGTTCTGTTCCCGTTCAGACCCACCCAGTGCAGGAAGCTCCTACCTTGAGGGCCAAACGACCTAGTGGGGATGAGCATCGGTGGGGAGGCTGGACCAGCTATGCCTCAACATCCCCTCCAGTCCCAAGAATCTGTTTGCTCAGGAGCAGTCCCTGCACCCCGTGTTACTCCTCCCCACTCCGTAAGCGCCGCTCCATCCATGAAAACGCACTCCTCCAGTCTGAGCTCTGGGCGCCCTTTTGCGCCTTTCCATGTGCAGAGCTGCCCTTTATTATTCAGCTTTGGCTTGGTCTGGAAAAAGACAGTGCTGTCCCCTTGCTACTCAGAGCTCAGACTGTGCAGCATCAGCGTCACCCGGGAGACGGCTGGACATGCAGAGTCCCAAGCCCCGCCAGACAAGGATCAGTCTGCATCTTAACAGCACCTTCAGGTAATTCTGGTGCTCATTGAAGACGAAGAAGCACTGCCCTGGGTGAAGTGCAGCTCGTCTCTGGTGCTGGAAACTAACCTAGGGGAGCCTGCTCATGACAAGCCACAGCGCAACTCCACTCAAGATGGAAGTAAACGAGACGGTGAGCTGAGCCCAGAATGCAGCCAGCTTCTTTGCTTCTGTTCTTATCGTTATCGTACGTACGCGCCAGGGTGAAATCTGCATTTCAGTGGGAGCCTGTGCCTGTGGCCCTCGCTTTACTGTGGCACCACATTAGGAGCTCGAGATGCAGCGGACACACAGGGCACGGTGCACGGCTGACATTTGTAAGTTTCGGGTCCAGCTGCTGAGCCCGAGAACCTTCCCACTTATGGCCTGTGCGACTCTGGACACGCCATTTTTCTCTGTGCTTCCGGGTCCTCCGTGAGGAAGGTAACACTGTACACAACAGAGGTTAAGAGTGCTGGCCTCAGCTAGGTGTGGTGCTGCATGCCTGTAGTCCCAGCACTCAGGAGGCTGAGGCAGCAGGATCTCTGTGAGTTTGAGGCCAGGCCAATCTACATGGTGAGTTCAAGGCCAAGGAGAACTACAGAGTGAGACTCTGTCTCAAAAGGCTAAAAACAAACAAACAAACGGATAGAAAAGAATGCTGGCCCTGGCAGTGGGGTCTGGCGGAAGTCAGTGGAGCCATTGTATCTGGTTTCTATATCTGCCAAATGGGAAACGGTAATGTCTTCTACTGCAGAAGGCTGCAGTGTAGATCAAGTGAGTTAACATCTGTGGGCACCTCAGAAGCCGCTGCTCAGTCACGGGTGCCCACGGTGCCCAGCGGGGCCTGAGTGTGACCCTGCATGCCGTGTGCACCACGCCAAGGCCCTGTGGTAAGGCCGCAGACTCACCACACTTCTACGCACATCAGGGTTTCTGTGGGGAATGGCAACGCCGTGACAGCGAATGTCTTTCTTTGGGAAGGGTTATAAAACGAGCCAGAAATATTTTTGCCACTGACAATTTCAAAATCTTCTTTTCCTTTCTAAAATTCTCCCTGGAAGAACTCACTGCACAACAACCACCTTTACTTTTAGCTCCCCTCTTCCAGAAATCCCAAACAAAAACTACCGTTCTAAAGAAGAATATCCACCCTCCCCTGGCTGGCTATTTATACTATCATGTGAGTGACTGCTGGAATTATGCCCTCCCTTTTGCATTTTGTGTCTACTTCAGAATCTGGCTTTAGCTTATTGCTTTTGTAAGAAGACTTTTTTCTTTCAACAGAGTAAGAGCATCTTCAGGAGACAAAAATGGATTTTCCAAAAGGAACATAGCAGAAGGAACCTTACACGGTGAATAAGCTACAGTCTTGAGGCATAAAGTGTTGGGATGGGGGATTTGAAATAAATGTTTCCAGCTTCTACATTAAACTTAGCAAATTACTTTTCCAACTCATTAAATAGGACTGGAGAAACGGCCAGTGACCCTCCCGAAGGGAGTGTCTTACTTAGTCAGGTCTGACCCATCAACTTTGACCGGAAGCAGTCCTTGCAACATGAGCATGATACAGCGTCGCTCTTCGGAAACAATACCCAGTCTGCAAACCGGAGCTCAGCAGCAGACACCAGCAGCCCACTGCCGACCTCTCTGCTGGAGGGATCAGAACTCCCCCATATCAAGCACTAGAGAAAGGTTTGAATAATTCCAGAGCCCTGAACACTCTGTGGCTCATTAAGGAGCCTTTTGTGGACACATGAGAACCTGCCCTGGGAATCCGCAGAGGGGCTCTTCTGCGCCTCTCCATGTGCAGAGCCACCCTTTGTTATCTGCACAGGCTGGGGGGCGGGCGCAGGCCCCCATGAGACCCACTGACTGCAAGGAAAAGCACATCCGGTGAAGAGCAGGTTTGAAAGCCATCCCTGCCCTATGAAGCCTCACACTGACACCCCGAAGCAGCGTCAAGTACCTGTGCCACTGGTTCAGGGACAGCTTCCGTGAGAAAGACAGCTCCCCAGCACCCCGAGGTGTTCCAGTGTGCAAGCCACCACTGTAGGATCTGTCTGCATTGTATTACGATGTGGTCACAGGATCAGGTGTCAGGACTTCTGTTTTCACCCCAGTCTCCCCTAGGGGATATTATGGTCCATGTTTCAAGAACAGATCACGTGTCTAATGGAGACAGCAAAGGCAGGAAATGCAGAGACACTGAGTTCGGGAACTGTCCCACAGAGCCGGGGGAGCGAGGCATGGCGCCCCACTCCCTCCCGCAGAGCATAAGACGAAGGCACAGGGTGGAGTTGTGGGGAACGGTTGCTGGAGTCCTCCATCCCAGACAGGTCCCATATGTCACCCCGCTCGAGGCTTCCGTGTTCTCTAAATCCAGTGGATCCTTGCCCAGATTACATCACGGGTTACTGAACATGACATAGAACCACTGACGGCAGTCCCTGTCCTGAACACCTTGGCCTCTGACCTCGGCTGCCAGCGCCCTCGGAGCACAGTCTGAACACGACTCACCCTGGCTCCCCTGAGGGACCCAGAGACACAGATGTGCCCCGGGAGACTGTGCCTCCCAGCCCTTCCACGCCCTCTTGGTTGTTGTTCCAAAGAGGAGGCCGACAACACGGACCCTGAGGTCGGGTGGTCAGGGTGGAGTGAGTCAGGACACACAGAGGACTCAGGAAGCACCTCACATGGGCAAGCAAGCCGGAAAGAGCAGCTGCACTTACCATCACATAAGGCAAGGACTGTGAGTACCAAAATAAAGATGTGAGGTGGGCTCTGGAAAGAATGATGTGCCTTTGTGGGGTCTACATTTCCACCTCTGCCAAAGGATGGAGCAGGACTAAATTATGGCTAAAATAGTCTCCAACTCCAAAATCCAATCTTTTTGTTTTATTTTGGTTTTCTGGGTTTTTTGAGACAGCGTCTCTCTATGTAGTCCAGGTTGGCCTTGAACTCACTATATAGCCCAGACTGGTCTCAAACTCATGGCAAGCCTCCTGCCTCAGCTTACCAAGTGCTGGGATTACAGGTGTGCACCACCATGCCCAGCAGCTCACTATCTTTAAAGCCAGAGCTCACTGTTTCCAAAATCCAGCTTTGCCACTGCTCAGCCGAGGGGTGTGAACAGGCCACCAAGTGCTAGAAACAGTGGTTCTCTGTCCTGTAAGATGCCCACGATGGCCAGCAATGTGTCCTTCACCAGGAGAAGTTAAGGTAGGGTGGGTAAAGCACTTCCCAAACAGGAAGCCCTGGAAATGCTGAGCTGCCCCAGTGCCCCATCTTCCATCCGGACTATGTGAGCCATGCTACTCAGGGAGGAAGACGAGGAAGCCAATACAGGGAGAACGTCCAGGAAGGGAGGGCGACCACTGCTTCTGTGCTGGACATCGCGACAACTTTTCAATTTGTTTCATCTCAGGTTGCCGTGTACTAGAACAAGGGACAAGATACCGCTGTCATAATGATTAGCGCCGATCAACAAACACTAGATATCCCTGCAGCAACTCTCAGGAAAGCAGATTAAGGGCACCTCCATCTCACCAAAAGCAGAAGAGGAATAAGGGCTTTGAAAGGCAGCAGAGAGAGACAGAGACGGATGGAGAGAGACACAGAAAGACAAGACCATTCCAATTTCCAACTCTCACAGGGTAACCCCACCTGTAATCCCAGCACTTGGGAGGCTGAGGGAAGAGGATTGCCACAAGTTCAAGGCCAGCCTGGGCTACATAGTGAGGCTCTGTCTCAAAAAAAAAGAAAAAAAATTTCAAGCTTTCTTTTAGTTTGCAGCAAATAATTCCCCAAATCCACAAAATAGGAGCCTCAAAGGAGAACAGAAAGAAGAGATGGGAAAACAAAGACAAAACAGGGAAGAGAAGACAAAGGGGGAAAGAGAAGGAATCTGGACAAAGCAGGCTCAGGAAGTGTGTTGTGGGAGATTCAGCTCCTTGGGACTAACTCTTCTTCTCCCACATTGTTTCCAGGTTGTCTGGCGCGGGGATCATCCAGGCAGCTCAAGCATGGTGTAAAGAGCGCTACATGGTCCACCGTGCTGGACAGCTCCTAAGACAGTTTTATAGAGCGTTAGGAAAGG